GAAGCTGACCGCGCGCGCGGTCAGACCAGTCGGGAATGGTTAGTTTTGGACCGTCCAAATGGTCCTCCCAGATAGTTCAGCAGACTGAAGCATTGATGACTCAGAAAGCCTTTTGGATCTTTTGGGTTTCTGAGTCTTCCACTCTTTCTACGGTTTTCAGCCGAGTGCCTGGCATAGCCGAGTTTCTGAAAGATGTCTTGCCCCAAAGACAGTCTCTACCTGTTCATGACATGTGACATGTGGCAACAACACAGTGGTCTTAGGAAGTTCTCTTCATGTAGAGATCTGCTCAGAACCCACGGTGCTGTTCGTTCCATGCCACCTGCTGTTCGGTGGCCAAAAGTCGAACAGATCTCCGGGACTCGGGGACCGCCCACCGTGTGGTTTGGCTCCAAGTTTGAACAGATCCCAGCCCGACCCCGTTTGAGATCCGCGGAGAATCGCCTTGAGAGCTCCGCGGTCGGGATGGCGGCAGAGCTTGGGTCAGTTGGGCCATATTACCTCTTCACGGAGAAGAACACTTTTTTGGAGATTCGCATGCTAGAGGACCGTTGGTTTCACTCTTTGGAGTCAATTTTTTCACATCGCAAAGCGGCGTGGTGCATCCGGTCCTGGTGCCCAAGGGATTTCCATTTCGCTCGTCTCTAGCTGCTACCCCAATTGGTGATTTCTGGCGCAAAGCCATCCCGTCTCTTTGGATCTCTTTGTTGGACGCCCGTTGCTTCCCTTCAGGACGTGCCGACGCACGTCCGCAAGAGCTCATGGTCCGCTGGAGAGAACCAGACACCACGGCTTTTGGCGGAATTGGATGCTCCAAACGAGCAACACAGCAGGGGCCAATGCCAGCCGTGTGTCTTCTTTGCCAGCCGCCAAGGGTGCCCCGTGCGTGGTTACTTTGGGTCTTGCTTTCGTGTTTTTCTTCCCAATTGTTTGGAGAATCCCATCCTTTGGGAATCACCAATGGATTACCCTATCAATCCCTATCAATGATCATGCCATCTGGACCCTGGATGGTCCTGATGGTGAGCCTTCTTTTATTGTCATTCCTGGAAGCCCTTTGGCAGGTGTACAAGTACAGGCTGCTCCTTTTGTCACTTGGCCCATTCCAAGAAAGTCAACCACCGCCCACAAAAAGCCATCCGCGACCAGATGAAAAAGGCCATGGAAGAGGTCTTGGAAGTGTCGGTGAGGGTCTCAGTTCTGGTTGAACAGCGGTTCCGAGCTGAACGGCACTTGTTACTAGAAGCGATGCACTTGTTACTAGTAGCTTCTTGTTTCAGATAAAATCACAGTTTTGAGGCATGTGGTAGGTCCAGTAGGTCTTGTGTTTGTGAGGATCCAGAAGCTCGGCGCCTTGCCATGCAGAAGCTGGCAGCTCAACATGATTACATGCGCCGAGTGGTCATTGGCTTTCTTGACGCGATGCGCTTTGGCCAACATTTTCAACACAATGACCGCATTTTCTCATTGCAAACAATTACGTCTCTGTTTGGCTTCAATCGAGATTCTGCAAGTGTTCGATAGCGTTGGTCTGTGGCCTCTGGGATTGTCCATGATCCTCGAACAGGGGTGTATGGCTTGAACACTTGATTGATCCCCCCCACTACCAGATGGATGTTTATCATCCTCGTCGGAGGTCTATGAATGAACAGTCAGCATCAATTGAGCGACCGACGCAGCAGCACGATGAAAGAGGGGGGATGTAAGATGTGGCAAAAGCCATCCAGATGTATGTAGAGCCAATAGGGGGGGCCAACCCTACTACCTTTACCCTTTACCCTTTGATGGACACCTTGATCGGCACTGACGACAAACCTCTTTTTTGAGCCTTGATAGACTGTGTGTGGATTGCTTTGTCAATGGTGTCTAGGAGAGACCGGATTTGTTGATTGATCAAGATCAAGCTGCATTGACAATGACCACAGGAGAAACTTCTTTTGGAGGAACATGGAGGAACCATTTCGTTGTGTGGCCGACATGGTTGAGGATCCCTCTCTCTCTCTCTCTATATATATATATAAACATACAAATCATGGCGTAATTTTCTTGATTGGGTGTCATTCTAACTATCCCATGTTCCTTGGCGAAACACCCTATTTTCACTCTCCCCACGTGTGGCTCGAGCCAAAAAGTCAGGGCCCTATACACCTGACGAGCGTGTAAACGATCTCGCTATCCCCCGTTTCTGCCGCGCTTGCCGGTCTCTTTCTTGGCCGAGGACCTTTGAGTGTGACGTTCTGGTGTGAAGTTCTCACAGAATCAGAATGTGGTTGCCTCGCCATTTGCCAAGGACATTGGGTCTGAACGGCGCAGGTCTTGCGCGGTTGCATGGTGGGGCAAATTGGACCCTGGGCTAGGCTGCTAGGTCTGCTAGGTGTTCATCGAAGGAATGAGATTGTCGAAGCCGGTGGTCGATTGGTTGTCTGATGTGGATGTGGGTCAACACCTTGGGATTCTCCAAAGCACTTGATCTCCGTAAACCCGTCCACTTGGTTCGCTTGTCGGGGTCAGCCAGCATTTGCTGGGTTTGGACATGTGTTTGCTTGGATCAGGATGGCGAAAACGCAGCGAAGAGAGTCTGGTATCCTGTGACAAGTTGGCGAACAGCCAAAGCCGCGGGAACGGGCCACGTTTTCTTCTTTGGCATAGTCCAGTCTTGTGGCTGGCCAGTCTTGTCTCTCACGTCAGTAGGGTTGGTGAAGCCGCTAGCCATAAGGTTTGGGCAAATGAGCGAGGCGGACAAACAGAAGTCTTCGATGGAAAAGTGGCAATTGATTGAATCAGACGCTGATAAATTGCTTCTATATAGCTTGGCTGGCCCTCCTAATCAATCGTTTGCTTCTTGCACTTGGCTTAACACACATGCAAACTACGAGAAGGGGGATCTGAACCAATGACGCAAAGGCCATATACACTTCCCCAAACGACAAAGACGCTTGCCAAACGCTGCTGTATATTGTTCATAATCGTCATCATCGTCGTCGTCGTCGTCGTCGTCGTCATCGTCATCGTCATCAACATCATCCGAATAGAAGCCATCGTTCTCGTACATCAAGGCCTTTTGATTTCAGTGGAAAGACTGTTCGGACATGGTATGGACGCCCCATTTGCCCGTCACCTGGCTGAGTGGATGCAAGCAGCGGTACTGGGTGGCCAAGCTGCACCAGTAGCTGGAACCAACCGACCCACGGTCGGAGGGAAGTTTCCTTTATCGAACAATTTGTGCATGTTGGCTTGCCCAACGTACATGTTGGGTTTTGTCGAGAGGCGCCCATGTTTGGAGTCATATAGAAGGGAAACGACCCGTTCATCAGCCGTTGGTGATTCCTCAGTTTGAGGCACACTCCGACATACAACCACTTGATTTCACGATGACGATGTACGATACAGTCACGCATCTTCATCGTCTCTTGAGCTTGAACGTCGCCTGAAAAGAGCTGCTTTGATCTTTGATCGCTGAATAAATCTTAGTCGAACAAACACTTTTTGTATTCGATACGCCAGTGCAGAGATGGACGCCTTTAGCCTTAAGCTGACGGACTCATCGAGAGACCAGTGGATGCTCCAGATCTTGAGACCATTGATCATGATCTGGATCCTCAAAGTATCCCTCTGAGAACCGAATCAAAAGTGGGACCTGGCATTTCTGGTGTTTTCTTCTTTGCACAAGGTTGACACCGGTCTTTCAACCTCAAGAAGTCACGAGACTCGGCTGGAGCAACACACGTGGGCTCCACCGGTCTGAAAGCAAATCGGAGCTCCGTCACTCCCAGGTGGAGGGGGGAGGCCGGAGGGCGAAGGAAAGGGACGGCCGAAGGGCGCCGGGGGGAGCCTGAATGTGGGACCCCTGACGAACGAAACAGGTGACGCCTGTTCCATCCATGTCCATCCATTTTCTCTACATCTGTGATGCCCCTTCCTGCTCACCCTCCAAATGGTCGTCTGCCATCATTTGCCAGTAGAAAGCTCCAAGCATCTACAGAACCACCGAGTTGAGCAAATATGGCTTTGGGCACCGGGAAAGATGAGAGGACAGTCCAACGAATCTTCCTCACAAGGAACAATGCACATGGCTGTGGGCAAAATATGAATGAATATAAGAATATGATATAAGATTTATGGATATAAGGATATAATGATATAATATGATATGATGATATATATAATATATAATATGACACATATATAATACATAAACCATAGAGGTTTACATTCGCGCATATTTGGTATGTGTCTTTTCCTCTTGTTCACCAGGCCGAACCTCCACTTTGCCACAGTGAGAACTCGCATGCGTCCGGGAGTAGGAAATGTGCGTCGCAAAGAGGTAAACACACACACTAGGCGGCCAGGAACATTCCAAGCCGGTGTGTTGAATAGACACACGTGGAAGCCCATAAGTTAGTGTAGGGCAGTCCATTGTCGACAACGGATGGTCTTGGAGGTTGTGTTTTTCTCTTTCCCATGCTGTTTGTTTCTCCTGGGACATGCTCCTTTTAGTAATCCATATGTATATGATTGTATATGCCATATATATGTTTTTCGTGTGCTTTCGCACCTTGTCACGACGTCATATTGTCAGGGGCTGATCAAAGTTGACCGACTCTCTGATGTTTGAGTCTTCACGGAGAAGGTGCTGCAAACATCTGCAAGCATCAATGGAGTTCCACTCCCTGAAAAAGTAATGGAAGTGGACACGTGTAATGTAAAATTGACATCCAAGGGGACACATTCCACTTCCATGATTGTTCCAGGCATTGTCCACCTTTATGGGTGGTGTCACACGGCACGGCTCCTGTCACCGTCTTCGAAGGTCGAGCTTTGCAGCATGTGGGTGTGATGAATTCCTCTGGCTCCTGGCCCACATCCTCAAGCATTTACTTAGAATTAGTTAGACTCCTCTGGCACCCACCCCAACCACCTTCAAAATTGAGGTGCTTGGAGCCCAGGGAATGGACGTCCAACAGCCAAGGGGTGACGAAGAGAAACGCACCCTGCGTGAGGCGAGCGTGGAGGTGTCGTGCCCCAAGCTCCGCGGAGGTGTGCGGAGCAGGGTCAGGGCCTAGGAGGTGTGTGAAACTGAGAGTCGAGTCCTCCGGATAGCTAATCATGATATGATATTCTTGGGGAGTTGATTATGTTTGGCCATCCAGCAGGCGGCAGCCTAGGCCCAAGGATTTGCCTGGCATCAGTCCTTCATTGGGATTGAATTTGTTTCCTTTGCAAGCTTGAGCCATGAAGCTTGAGCCATTCTCCCCACCGTTCCGACCCCCCGGCCAGGCGGCTGGATCGCACTTGGGAGGCGATCTTCCGGCGGCGTTCGGACGCGCCATGCGCCTTGAAATGCGTGGGGGAATGAGCAGCATTCATCGGGCACGGACACGCGCGGAGCCTGAAAAAGCGAAGGCAAGCAGTGAAAGCAGTGACCACCTGGCAGCTCACCACAGCTCGTGCTGGTTTCGCATCTTCAAACTGGAAAGCTGGGACCGATGAATCCCAGGTTTCGTCAGTTGATCTGGGTCAAGCAAGAAGCTGCCTTTCGCAGCTGCTCTGTATTCTGGCAGGTGGAACAGGAGTTGGACTTCGAGTCCCGCACTGCGGTTGATGAAGCTATGGAGGCCTCGAAAGAGAAGGCCTGGAGGGACAGGCATCTTTTCACGGCTCACGGACGAGGTTCCCAAAGCCATGTAGAGGTTCTCAGAGAAATGCAACATGAACTCCAACACTGTTTTGTGGGGATGACGACCGGTTTGTCTTTGTCTATTGATTTCGGTGTTGCCAAAAGACTTGTTCACGACTAACACTCCCTGGAACAATCATGGAAGTGGACAATGGCCCCCTTGGATGACCATTTTCCTCTTCAAACAGGTGGTTTTCCACGTCCATGATGATTTCAGGAAGTGTAAGTGTGATGAGACCCCCCATGGACCCTAGCGGTCAGTTGGTTTGTTTCGGTGGCTTGGCCCTCCTTCCTTTCATTTTTGTTTCTTTGGATACGGAGTCTTCTCGAAGTCTCCTTGGGGCGCGTCCCAAATAAGGAAATCATGGATATTGACCGTTGGTGGCCAACCATTGCTTCGTCCTTGACGATTGGAGAACTTCATGCCAACATCAATTCAATCCCTCATTCCGTCAGTCTTGGTTTCTTCCAAGCAACCACTGGTTGTTCTTCTTCACTCGACCGGTCGCTTCGGACGATTCAGACGGCATACCGCTCCTTCTCGGAGCTGAGGCGGTGGCGGAGCTGTGCCCGGAGGACAGTCCAGCTGGGCCTCGGCGCGTGGTCCAACTGAGACACCCCCTTCGCATCACCTCGAGAAAGGGGTGCTATCAATCGACCGTCAGCGGCAGGGGGCCGGTGGAACTGGTCTTGTGGGCAGACCGTCAGCGGCAGGCAGACCGCTGTTCGTCAGCCCGTCTCGTTGTGCTCCTCAAGTCCCCCCGTCGGTACCGTGGGGTCAACGGCGTCCTCAGGGAGTGACAGGTGGCACGGCTTCTAAAGGGATCCGACAGGAAGTGTTCGAAGGATCATTTTGCTGAACCTGAAGCCCAGGTTGGTCTTGACCATGGTGTTTCACTGTGTACGTCAGGACCAAGGTTACTAGTATGAAGATGGGGTTCAGACATGTTCAGACCAGGTTTGACTCAGTCCGAGTGGACCGGAACGAGTGCGGTGGACAGGTCACCGTGCTTTGGCCCGCCAGGAGCCGCCGGTGTCGCCGATCGCCAGCGTGCAGCGCCCCGTTCGAAGAGTCTTCGCGGTTCCATCCGCCGGAGCGGACAAAACGTGTTTTCACACCAAGAGGTGGGCTTTTGACCTGGAGCATCCTGTCTGATCTTGGACAGTCGTGTAGGGCGTACGGAGGCGCCAGGACACCCTTGTCTTCCTGGGCAGGAGAGCTCCACCCTTTGCGAAACCCGTCTGACACCGGTCACCAGACCAGAGGAACCCGTCTGACGCGCCCGGCTGCAAAACACCCCAAAAGGAAGAGTAGGGTTTAGGGTCACCTGGGGCAACTTGGTTGAAATGAACAGATCCTTTTCTGAGGGATGTCAACCGAAACCATGGTTTGGTGGGCCAGTGGGCAGTCGATCGAATATGTCCACTTTTTCGTCCACTTGAAAGAATTGTGATGGGCCCGTTTTTCACACCCCAAACTCCAAAATTCAAGTGTCAGTTTTGGGGCAACCGTCAAATCCAGCAAGGTCTTGCTTCTTTCACAATTCAGCACCCAAAAGGCTATTGATCAAAGCGCTCACCATTTGATGGGATTGGAATTTTCTTGTGCGGGTTCCGGGCTTTACCAGCTGCTGTCCTGGTCCGCAACCACTCTCGACCCCTGCGGATGGAAGGAGTTCCAACTCCTTCTGCTCTACCTGGACCTTCCAAGGGGTTTCGACTGGAGACCAGTAAGTCGTGTAGCCTTACAAAAAAAGTAGTCATGGGTAGTCTATTGAAGTCTATTGGGACCCCCTTGGATGGTCCTGGGATGAGATATTGATTCTTCATCAGTTTTTCAACGGTCCTACGAAGGACACATGTCTAAAGTGATGTCTCCTATTACTATCAATCAACAACGACGAACAGTCGGTGTTTAATTACCCTCGCCAAGACTCATATCGAAGTTGTACAACAACAACAACAACAGCAGCAACAACAACAACGACGACGACGACGACGACGACGACGACGACAACAAGTCCCTTCAAACCCAGAGCCCGGTCATCCATGTTAGTTAGTTAGTTAGCTTGCTAGCTAGTTAGTTGGCTGGTTGGCTGTTCAGCTATTTATGTAGTTAGTCTGCTGTAGAGGTCAATGGTTCGTACTACTCTGCAACATGAGGAATCGGCCTTTCGAAGACTCTGCCAGCCTTCGGCGCCGGGTGCCTGAGGAAAGGAAAGCGTTTGTTGAAAGCCTGTAGTTTGATTGAACTTATGCAATTTCAATCATAAAGGCAGCCCAAAGGCAGGAATTATATACTTAGATGGATTACACAAGCAAATTTGCCAATCTTCTTTTCTACTTTGTAGATCCAGCTCCATGTTTTGTGCTCAACAGCGAAGCCTAGGGGTCTTCAGCCATAGTAAAGGACCTCAGAGCAGATCGGAGCAAGTGAGCAAGTTCCCGAGCAGGTTCTGGAGCTTTCGAAGCGCACTGCAGATATGCAGACACACCGTTATGTCATCATGCTGGCATGTTCTCACGCTGAGGTGTTGTCATGCCGTCAGGCTACCACGGTTGAATGGCGCTGTCATGTCGACATTCAAACATGTTACACTCTAGCTTGCAAAGATGATGTCATGCTGGCGTCTTGCTGGCGCGCTAACGGAGATGAACACCAAGCTTCTCACTTGTCTCCAAGCTTTAGGGGCCTTCAGCCATAGTATAGACTTCGGAGCAGACCAGAGCAAGCTCCAGAGCAGGTAGCGGAGCAGGTTCCGGAGGAGGTTCTGGAGCACAGTTCCGGAGCAGGTTCCGGAGCAGGTTGCGGAGAAGGTTCCGGAGCAGGATGCGGAGCAGGTTCCGGAGCATGGTATTCCACTCGAGCCCTACCAGCACTTTTGTGACATTCTTTGTATTTGCTTCTTCGGCGGCCAGATGACGTTCCCCACCATTGCAGCAGTGCGGTCATGTTGGTGGGCTTCCTGAGACATAGTCCTTACCCTGACACAGCCAGCGGAACTTACCCAAGAGGCTTCCACGGTAAGCACTTGAGGGTTGTTGTGATAGAGACCTGCTCTGTTTGAGGTGCCAAGGTGCCAAAACGCCGTGCCTCGAAGACAACCGAGGTTTGAAGCAGTTGGAAGGGGATGTGGCCTGCAGCATCGAGCGTGTGACCTGGCGGGTTTCGGTGACTCTTCCGCCGGCGTGGTTTGTGGGAAAGGGTTCCTGTGCGAGTTCAGATGAGGACACTCTTTTTGGACCCGATTTTTCACGGTTTCTTGAAAAATTATCCCGTTGACATCCACAAAAAGAGCAGTGTGAAGGTCGGCTGGAGCAAACTTGAGCTATGCCGCCATGCAAAGGAAAACGCATTTTCATTGAAGTGAAACAGTGAAACAGTGAAGCGACCTGAAAACCACGACTTAACACGTCCTCTTGAGGAGTGTGGCATCGATGTCTCCCGAGGCGGGTGGCGCACATGTTGCCAAAACAAATGCCGCGCTGCGTTTCCTCACGGGTGGGTTCACGATTTTCGGGAGTCCCCGGCCGTTCACCAGTGGGTGTTCCGTTTGAAAAGACAGATTTATCGAAACAGCGGAGGTGCGCCTGCAAAGGAGCTGGGAAGGAATTCCGGACAAATAAAGCAGTGAGGGTGCGCTCCTGCCGAAACACGGCAAATGGAACTGGTATAGAGGCCACCCCAGAAAGACGCCTGGTCAACCACCCAAATGCATGCGTAAATGAGTAAATATGCCAGACATGGAGTGTCTGGGCTATGATTCACTGAATCTACGATGAACTCAAGAGATGAGACGACGAAATCCTGAAATGATATCAAAAAAGGCCAAATTACAGATAGAGCCGTTGCCAGGTCGACACAAGGATAATAGAGAGCAGAAAGGACTTTCTTCGAGAGGAACGAATTCTTGCATCCTTTCTGGGAATTCCAAGTTTAGGGTGGTTTTCCCATCCAGTGAGTGAAGAATGGGCAGTTTCTCTCCCCTTTAGCAACTACCTGACTACCTGTGGAACTTCTGGCTGCCAGCCTGAGTGTTTCAGAATGTCCCAAATACGAGACAGCACAGCGGCAAATATTGTTTTCTTTTCCGTGGAAAACCCGGGTTTTCAATCTTGGGTGTGGCCTTCATGACATGTGAATGTGAAGTTGAAGACTTTTCGTTTCACTGCTTTGGTCATGCCTGCCAACATGCAATTTTCTTTCACGCAAAGTTCTTAGCAACCTCTCATGTCCTCTCCTTGCAAAGGTTAATGTAGGCCTTCGCCTCCACGCTGCCCACAGCTGTCCTAGGCAACCTTGATGCTTGTATCATGGGGCGAGAGAGAGGAGAGAGGAGTCTTGTTCACCCGTGGGTTTAGCATGCGAGTCTTTGGTCTACTAAATCCGACTGGGTCTGTTCTGTGCCTGTGGAAGGTGTGGATGTCTTTCGCTTGGTGTTGCTGAATTCGTGACTCAGCAGCGGAAAATGAGCCGCGTGTTCTTTTTTGGCATGCAGTGCAGGCGCCTGCAGATTGTTTGTTCCCACCAAAAGTGCCACAGTGAACTTATGTGTGTTGACCATCTTCATGCCACTCTAATTTTTCGTTGAAGATGTTGATTTTACAACACGTAGGATTAAAGGAATGTGGGAGATGCAGAGATGCCACTTTTCTCGGAACTCGCTGAATGATGGATAGCCATGGATCGCCCAGTACGCTGGATCTGAACGACGTTCCCTCGCACTCCGACACTGCCACCTCAAACGGTTTCCGCACGAGAAGAATGACGGTCGTTATGCAGAAGACATGTGCGACCGGGATGTCCCTATAATATAAACATATATGCAACCTATACAAGCTACCCGAACCTGGGGTCGACCGCGCAGTCGCTCGTTCCGGACATGGGGGGCTCGCCAACCCCCGGTCGGTTTCGACCATCACCCGTTCCTCGTGCATCGAACTGATGGTCCAAGCCATAGGTGCCATAGGTCCGGTGCTCCTAGTAGCGTCCTTGCTCCCAGTAGTAAGGCCAGGAGCCCCTAGTAGCTTCCTTGCTCTTAGTAGCGATGCCAGGAGCCCCGAACGTAGCTTCTTGTTACTAGTAGCGTCCTCTACTCCCTTGGTTCGCAAAAGGTCATGACATCGGTTCCCTAATTTTTTGTCGCTTCGGTGAGGGACTTCGATTTCTTGACTCGGCTCACTCATCGGAATGTGAGTCGTTTTTTTCTTTCCGCCGCCGCCGGTGAACTGAGGGAGAGGCACTTGCGGCCCTCCACCCGCGTGTTGCTCATTGCACAGGAGGCGTTTTTTTTGTTAATTTTCTATTTTTTTTCCGGGAGAACACGCGCACAAAACGCCGATGGATTGAAGATGCGTGCTCCAGCCAGCTTTTTGGATGTTTCTTTTTGGTGGATGCGACAAGAGTAGCAGAAGATCTGAGTTGTTGTTTTTGAAGTTTTTGATCTCACAAAAATTGGAACGACACCACACCCCCCCGAAATGGCGAACGACCTAAAGCTGTAGATGTTTCTCAAACACACGCTCCACCCGTGTCGGCGCTTGGATCCATGGATCCATGAATCGAGACCGGAGTCCTGCCCCGATTCATTGGGTGGTGAGGGGTTGAATCCTGAACAATCCGTGTTTTGCTTCATGGATTTTTACATCCCCAGGTCAGCCGAATGCTTTACTGAAGGCGAACAATCGGCATCCTCATGGGACCATCATCGGCTTCTCCAGACCAAACGAGAAAAGACACAGACAGATCATTAGGGGGTGTGCAATCTGTGCGTGTGTGTATTTTTTGGACACCACGACGTAAAAGAACGAACCTGATAGAACCGAAAGCTTGTTTGTGCTGGTTGCGGAGTTTTATGCTTGTATCTTTCTACTTGACTTGTTTTGCCGGATTGCGCCATCAAGCCATTCCAAGTTTATTGCAGCTCAGCTCCCAATGACTTGATGAAAGGCAGAAGAACAGGCATTGCAACATTTGGCAACTCGACAGGACAACACGAGAATCACACATGGACAGATGAATCACCAAGTGGATCAGGCACCACGTCGTCGTTTGGTCTTCGTTTGGTCTCGTCACGTCATTGACCAACAACTCGGTGAGGCCTTTCTGTGCGAAGATCCACAGGCCTCCGTGGCTTTGGAGAGGCGAGGACAAGACTGAGTGGCGAGCCAGAGGGCCACCTGAAGATCAAAAGTCATAACACAGCCTCCAGGAGGTCTCTTTTTAGCGCTTTTAGCCAATAACAGATCTCTTTCAAGCTTTTACGTTCTTTTTTAACCAGGATATTTTGAAGGCAAGAAGAGATCCTAATTCCGTTCGAAAGAGAAGCAACTGCCGGAAATCTTCCTGGAGACTGACATTGTCATTGCAACCCAAAGAAGTCAAATATTGAAGAATGTAAACTGCGAATAACCTCCCCAAGAATGGAGAGATAACACCATTATGGAGACGAAGGGTTTTATTCATCAACAGACAGCATGTTTCTGCACCCTCCCCAGTCCTTCAGTGAGAGCACTCCGTTCAAGGGCAAACCTTCCGAAAACTGTTCTTGTGGACATTTTTGTTGTCTTTCTCAGCTTCTCCACTGTTTGCTTATGGAAGTGGGTTCAGTTGTGGACAGAATTCAGCACCAAACCTGGAATCGACCTGCGACGGGTCACCACGGAGTCGCGCACCCAGCTGCAGGAGTGGTGTGACGGAGGCAGGGGGAGTGGGAGGAATCACCTTGTCACCTGGTAAGAGAATGAGCGAGTCACCAGCACCTTCACTGGGGACTGCTGAGGGTCAGCAACTGGTGAGCCCGAGATGATCCTTCCCCGCTTACAATGCCGAGTGGTACGTTGCTGCTGATCTTGTAGAGGAGAGCCTTGTTGGTGCATCTCACCAGACCGGCAAAGCGTTCCCAAACCGGACAGACCTGGGTTGGTCTCCCGATCCCCCAAACAAGCTCAATCATGCTCAATCAATGAATCAAGAGTAGGAGAAAGCACAGGAGTTCGTAGTTCGTAGGGTTGTAAAGAACGCCATAGTTTTTGGACATATATCCTGCACGGTTCGGTCGCCCGACGCCCACCGAGTCCGTGGTGGAAAGTGCCGAGTCGCGCGCCGTCGAACACGAGGCGAGATCCCAAAGTGCGGGTCACCCAGTCACCGGGAGTCACTCCCAGGTCATGGTGTGTGGGGGATGTTGACTGGCAAGTCTTGCGAGAAACGTTGGGAGACTCCCAAGTAGGGCGGTAGAGCGAACAGATTTGGTCCAAGAGAGATTGACTCAAGTCCCCTGATCGAACTGTTTCAAGTTGTGGAACCATTTGCTTGGGATCACGCATCTATTTATTTGGAGGTACTCCCAGGGGATAAGCTGAAACGAACCCGCCTTTTTTTTAAGAGATGAAGTAGGGCTATGGTCAACGACACTGCTTTCAAAGCCAGATGTTTTTCCCGAATGCGTAGCGAAGGGTTCTCGTTTAACTCTGGGGGTCTGGGGGTAGAGCCTTGTTCGCGACCCGTTGTTTCTATGTTCGCAACCGTCTGCAACCGTTCGCAACCGTCCGCAAGTGCTTGCAACCGTTGGCAGTAGAACGCTAAAGGCGCTGCCATTGGGGGAAGCTTTTGCAAGTGACTTTTCATGGATGTGTCACGTGTCAGTTTGCGATGCTATTCCATTGTGATTTGCATGAAAATGACATGTCGTGCAAGAAGCGTGATGCAGTTCGCTGCACAGGCGCAGCGTTTTGTGAGATCCACAGTTTGCTACGCAGTTCCATTGGGATTAGCGTTTGGAGAGTCGTGTTTTTGGGGTGTTGGATGTGGCCGTGCCATTGGGATTTGTTTTCGTGACCAGTCTCAGCTGAAATGGCGATTTTGGTAGATGGGAGTGTGCTCAGAACGGGTCGAAATCATTCCAAACGTGTGGTGTGTGCAAGTTTTGTTGAAGCTGACATGAGATGATATTGTCACTTTTCGTGGCAGGCGCAGTACTTTGTGTGGGCTTTGAGGCGTGGAAGTGTGATTCTCGTACGAAATGCTCGTTTTGCAGACTTTGACATGTGAGTTTTTGGAGGAAGTCTCGTACGAAGCGCTCGTTTTGGAGACTTGACACGTGACTTTTGGAGGAAGTCTCGTACGAAGCGCTCGTTTTGGAGACTTGACATGTGACTTTTGGAGAAAGTCTCGTACGAAACGCTCGTTTTGGAGACTTGACGTGTGACTTTTGGAGGAAGTCTCGTACGAAGAGTGCCCTACAAGAGTGTCCCACAAGAGTGTCCTACAAGAGTGTCCCACAAGAGTGTCCTACA